AAGGCTTTTTCTTATGTACTATCCAAATGTTCATGCTTGTTTTCAGATTTACAACTGTTGCAAGGCAACTCAGCTTATATGGCAAACAGAACGCACTGATATATAATGTTTTTACAATAAAAACGTACAAATCATAAGTTATTTACGCTTTATCACATGTGATGCACAGGTTTTTATTATGCGAAACACTACAAATCAGCACATTTTATTTGTCAAATAAGCCAAGTTGCCTCGCAATAGTTACAAATCTGAAAAAAAAACAAAAAACAAGCGTCCTGTGGTCACATATGATGTCCAAAATATTAGATTAGGCCTTTCCTCAGACGTCCTGTTCAATAGTAAACTCTTTCCTTAAGTGTCCTTAGTTTTATCACTCTTTTAAAAATCTTGGCTCATGTGCAACAAATATGATACACAGACGTGGAAATCACATGTCGTCTGCAACACGTATGATGAGCAGGACAGGCAAAGGGTTAATAAAAGGGGTCAGGAGCGGATTTCTTTTGGCAGTAGGCAATAAACAGAGGAGTTTTAACAAAAATGGGGCCGGGTAGTCAAACCATACCACGGGTTGACATGAACCTTGTGAGTATAACTGAATTGACAAAACTGTTCAGAAGCCATCAATAATTGTGTTGGCACAGAATCGTCATGTGCATTAGTCGTGTTCAAATTTTTAATCACACCAGACTATGCTCTCCCTCCAAGAAACGTTAACTAAGGTCCACTCAGCAGAGCTGCACTCTAGGATGGCTCCGTGGTTGTTGAACAAACACAGATATGCCTGAGCAGGTGATTATAACAAGGATTAGTCAGCCAAATATGCAATAGATTAAAATTGTGTAAAATAGCCCTGTTTCTTTTTCTATCATGATTGCACTCACGAGTCCTTTAATCCCCATTAAGGTTGCAGGGGTGCCACAAGTACTGTGGCTATAGCAGCAGTGGTTTCTCCTGAGCAAGACAGACTGACAGAACACAACCCTCACCAGGCTTGTTTGAATTCAGAGTTTTCCTTCTTTTAGACTGGTTTCCAACCAAGGCTATACAGCCAGTCTGTCCTATTTTATCCACAGCTGTTGGGGAAGAGATGGATTTATATGATTCCCAAGGGTATTAGCGCATAAGTGAATATAATGTTTCAAAAAAAGAAAATTTACATTATTCGGACTATTGTCCTCATCTTTGTCGCCATATTTATTACAACGTTTCGGCCGTTGTACGCTCCGGCCTTCTTCAGGTGGTTGGAACGTCGAACTGAACCCTTTATTTCGCTCACTGGGGTAGAGTGTTCTAGTTCCACGTGCCATGTTTAATGGATGTCAGTTATCAGTTATCTCCTGTTAATTTTCCCTCTGAAAGTTCTCCACCGCCTTAACCGGGTATTGAACTCACATTCTTTGAGTCTTGTCACTGGATCTAACTAACGCCTTTATCCACTGTGCCATGTGTCCTTGAAATAAAGGGCTCAGTTTGACATTCCAACTATCTGAAGAAGGCCGAAGCGTATAACGGCGGAAACGTTGTAATAAATATGGCGACAATGATGGGGACAATAGTCCGAATAATGTAAATGTGTTTTTTGATCACATTTAAATTTTACAAAGAAACACACAAAAAAAAAGGAATAACAAGTGATTATTCAGTCATCAACAATAACATGTATTGAAAAAATAAGCGAGTACAACAATTATGTTTGGTGAAACAAAATTAAGAAAGAGGAAATAGTTCCCCTTGTACTGATGTGACTTGTTTAAAATATTCAGAGTTCAGCAATATGTGTGTTATGGTCCAACGGCCCTTGTACCACGGTGATGGTCCAAGGTAGAACTAATAAAGAAGAACTCGAACACATATATGGAATAACACAGATATATTACAAACAGGAATATATACAGAGAAGTAGAAAGTGTTAGTACGAACTATCAGGTTTAGTAGTAATTGTCTGAACGCGACTCTATTTCGGACTGCCTCTGACTCGACTGACTGACTCGCTCGCTCTGACTGACTGACTGACAGACTCCTGACGGACCTCACTCCAGACTTCAGACTGAACAGTATTTATTCCCACCCCCCACGAGGGCATCATGTGGCACAAGGCTGGTGTAACGTGGGATCTCCGAGCCCGTGGACTCGGCCAAAAAATATGCCCTTTGAACCCGTATAAACTGGTTTAGAGTCGGTTTACCTCCTCGGTTTACCGCCCGAAGACAGAGAGTTCAACCGATCATTTGGTCAACCGGTCGTCCGACTTCAGGCTGAACTCTCTGCTTCCTCTTGAGGCGCAGTATTTATTACGTATGGAATAGTCCATTATGTTATTATGGGTAAGGTCCCATAACAATGTGATAACTGAGTTTAAGTAATGCGAAAGTTGTACAAAAAAATGATAGAATTCTGAGTTGGTTACTTGGCTTTTTGGACAGACAGTTCACAGCGTAGTGCAATTATAATTTTGTGTCTGTGTGTGTGAGTAGAAGAATGAGAATTCACGTATGTGGTTGAGCTCTGGAGATTTATTGTTCTACTACTGTTCTTTTCTTTGATTTTCGTGTTATTTATACTTTCTGAATAGGCTCCAGGAACGAGAGCGGGAAAAATATTGAAAGGAGTGTTATGTTATATTATTGGTCAAAAATCAACCAATCCCTGTGTTGGGGCCACCCACCTTCTCATCAGAATGGACTGATCTCTCTATTACTAATAGGACAGTTCTAGAGAGTTCTGGGAGAGCAGGTGACCATCACACGTCTACCGGAAGATACAGTTGGACTTTATACTCTTTCTGATTGTTACTGACTAACCTGCGTTCGTTTGACTACTAATCTCTCTGTTGCAAATACCTCTTCAGATATACCAGTATTTTTCCCTATGTATGTGTTTGTCCTTATTTCAATACACGCACGCGGAAACACTCAGCATCTCAACACACTGATTTTTTCTAAACCAGGTTTGGCAAAGTAAACATCAGAAAATTTGATGTGGCTCATGCGATGCATAAATTGTCCTATAGAAAATAGTGCTTATTTTCTATGACTATTGAGTATTTTGTGGGCGTGGTGTATGTAAACAACCGCTATAATATAACAAAATATAGTCGGAAAAGAAGAAAAGCCTATAATCATCATGCACTAAATCACCTCTACCTATAACTCGAAAACAATAAACTTATAAAAGATCAACAACCAGTAAACAAAAAACCAAACTAATTCTTCAGCATTAAATAACCCAAAAGGGTTGATATGCTGGTAAAACAAACAACTAAATAAATAAGCCGTAAAAAACGTATCAATCAAATACTGATAACAGTCATATATTTTAGATTTATTTACATTATCTTACTTATTATAAAACGCAGATAGTGTGTGTGTGTCTGTTCGTTTATATATTGGATCGGATTTCCTACATTTTTCAACCGATTTCAAAAAAACTTCACAGGACTATGTAAAATTACCTTGCGGTGGTTCTGACAGCGCCAAAAATTGGAAAAACACAATTCTTTTTGCACGAAATCAATTTGAAAACACGATTAAGAGGCATCGCTGTCGCGAGAATGAAAGGGGGACAACTCATATCGAGTTATACTTATTATAAAACCATGGTTGTTTGTTTGTTTGTGTGTGCGTGTGTGTGTGTGTGTGTTCTTTTATATATGGGATCGGATTTCCTACATTTTTCAACCGATTTCAACAAAACTTCACAGGACTACGTAAAATTACCTTGCGGTGGTTCTGACAGCGCCAAAAATTGGAAAAAGGAGTGTTATATTATATTGCGTGTGAGTTTGGGGAGGGTAGGATGAATGAAGAAAGGGGGTGAAAAAGAAATAAGAATGAGAGAGAAAGGGAGAGAATAGACAGGAAAGAAAGAAGAAAAAAACGAAGGAAATTTAAGGAAATTGAGAGTTGAAAGTTGTTTTTGCATTAAATCAATTTGAAAACACGATTAAGAGTCATCGCGAGAATGAAAGGGGGACAACTCATATCGAGTTATACTTATTATAAAACCCAGGTTGTTTGTTTGTGTGTGTGTGTGTGTGTGTGTGTTCGTTTATATATGGGATCGGATTTCCTACATTTTTCAACTGATTTCAACAAAACTTCACTTTTTTTTGGCAGGTAGTGTTTCTTATTGTCTTTCACACTTTTTTCTTTATTTTTACATTCAGAATGCTTTAAAAATTCTATTTACAAGACAATTGTTTATAATAAAATTCTATTCAATCGGTAGACTCATATACGATTGAAAACAATGTTTTTGTTTTAGTTTGGATCTGACCAATTTGTAAAAAAAACAAAATGACAAAAAAAACTAATTAAGACATGCGTGTCCGTCAACCTTAAACAATAATCTTTGTCAATTCTATTTTTCAGTCTTTATGATGGTCGATACTTGATCTATCTCTTACTGTTACATCCCTGGGCAACGCCGGGCTCTACTGCTAGTCTGGAATATAAATGGAGATAAACTGCTTCGGCCACAAAGTGAGGGATCAGTTTATATATTCATTGAAATATAGAACTGATCCCCCACTTTATACCCATATTATAATTTCTTGTTTGTCTATTCACAATTCTGATTAGGTATGAATCCACCGTTTCTCCCCCACCCAGCTATGGATTAATTACTACTTGTGACACTGTATAGTGGAGTAATGGATAGCGGCTCGAATTGAGGAATCGGAGAGCCGAGTTCGAATTCCAGTCGAATCCATTACAATCATTTACGTGCTAATACCCTTGGGAAAGTTATGAAACCTCCTCTTCTCCCACCAGCTATGAGTAAATATTAGGACAGATCAGGTTCTATAGCCTTGGATGGCAATTGTTCTACCTCGTCCGTCATGATCGCCTAAGCGTGCATCACGCATGACACATAACTGACTGCATCACTATACCATTATTGTTACAATCTAAAATATTTTTTGGCTTTAAGTAATCTGCAAAGGGTTGATAAGCCGTAAAATACGAATTAATCAATCTTTCCTTTTTAGTTTTCAGTTTCCTTAAATTTCCTTCGTTTTTTCCTTCTTTCTTTCCTGTCTATTCTCTCTCTTTCTCTCTCATTCTTATTTCTTTTTCACCCCCTTTCTTCATTCATCCTACCCCCTCCAAACTCACACATATACTTGTCATTTCTTTTCTTCTTTTATTTATTCCCTTTCTCGCTTCGTGCTTTTTTAAAAATTTCTTTCTTTCTTTCTTTCTTTCTTTCTTTCTTTCTTTCTTTCTTTCTTTCTTTCTTTCGTTCTTTTTCACCAGTCCTTTCTTCGTCCATCACTACTTCCTTCATATTGCATCTCAATCGCCGCCGCCGCCGCCAACGACAACGACAACGACGACGACACATCTTTTTTAAATGATAATTTTTTGTTGACAAAATACCAGAGAAACGAAATTACTAGCGTTCAGGATCCATTCCCCCACCCAAAACCCCAACCCACTTGACTTACTCCCCACCACACCTTCCACTAGCTCCTGCACCTCCAACCACCAACCCCCCCGCAACTGGATGGCGCGTCCCACTTTTTTTTTCATTAATCGTTATTGAATTCGCACCTGCTTTCCAGCGCCGACAAATTTTCTTTGACTAAATCCAATTTTCGCGCCCTGAAACTTTCTATTTTGGGCTGCATTGTCACTTGCGCATGCGTCGACGGACAGCGACGGAAATGCGGAAAAAAATAAACGCACGTGGGCGTTTCCGTCTCTGGCGGGGTGGGGGTCTCGTCGGCGTGACTCAGGTCGTTTTGATCGTATTACGATTCCAGCCCGGTCCAGCATTTTATTTACAATCATTTCACCGCAAGTAAGGCGATAATGCCACTAAGACGCAAGTGGGGGGGGGAAGGAGATTACTGAGAGTGAAAGAGAATTAGAGAAGATTAATGAAGAGAAAGGATAATAACGGAACAGGAAGATGGCAATTGGCGTGGCATTTAAATTTTTGAAGAACGTAGGTGGCAGGAAAGCAATAAAAGAAAAAATTAGAATAAAAATTACGGTTACATCTAACTAGTTCAACAGTAAATCAATCCAGGACGACCGTAGTCGTGATCATAGCCACCCAAAGCTATAGAATCCAGTCTGTTTTACTATTTATCCATAGCTGAGGGGAGAAGAGTTGGATTCATACCTTTTCCATTGGTCGACCGTAGTCGAGATCATCGAGTCAATACGAACGATCCTTTCCTTAACTGCATAGTATCTGCTTCACCTTAGTTAGGTGCAGTTTTAAATTCAGAATTTCCTTCTCCTAGATTGGTTGGGGAAAGGACGGTCTTAACGATAAGTTAGCTAGCCACAAACACTGACCTAATCATACAAACAATATTCCTTAAATCAAAACAACATAATCTTACTTACCTTTCTTACTACAATCACCATAATACCTCTTTGTCTATATGAAAATACTAACTAGTCCCCATATGTACAATTTATTGTCTGTGATGGGAGGGGAATAAAATAACAATTCTAAAAACAAGCCCTAATGAGTATTTACAATATGAAAACAAAACTATTTACAAAAAAAACTAAAGAAAATAATATGAGTAATAAAACCCCCAGAATCACTAAATGTGGCAGAAATCTCAGTTCACTGGCCGAAATTAATGCAGGACTATAATAATATAAAAGATTCATTAATCCCAAGCACTCACACAGACACGCACTCATTCAAACACAACAACAAATACGAAAAACACTCATGCGAAACGAAAGGCGCCCCGCATCCACCAGCGAACTGACATCTCAGTCCACCTAATGAGGGAGGCGAGGGGGAATTAAACTTAAAAAAATTAGGTACAGAAATAAAAGAGGGTCAATGAGCATAGATACCCTAGCTAAGTTAACTAAAAGGAAAAGAAACTAAAGGATCAAGATTAAACTTAACCTAGCCTAGTTTCGGGATGGGTTGTACAAGTTCAACCCAGGAAGAGCAATATCTTGACAAGATTAAGAAGGCCGAAGAATGCATCAACCGCCTGATAAAAAAAAAACAAAAAAAAAAAACAAGGATGCGGACATTAATCGAAAGTTTCGTTTATAAACCTGGCAGATGCTCTTAAAAATTAGCTACAATTACAGGCATCACCAAGAGCGAGAGCTGATTAGAACGACTGCCATGAAAATATTTCTAGAAAAAAAGACAGAAGGAAGAGACGTCACGGCAGTGAGTGAGTGACTGAAGTCGAGATGCCAGATCAGGACCAATAATATTACAGACCCATCTTTGGATTTTGTCGAGAATCTCGATATATATTTCTGGAACACCAGACATGACAGCAATATTCAAGGAACTGATGAACTAAGATGAACTAAGATGATTTAAGATGAACTCTGACGAAAAAAAAGTGTCTGGCCCGAAACAATGAACCAATTTTCTTGGCAGTAGACCTAGCAATTGATTCGACATAATCACACCGACACATATCAATGTAAAATTCGAGACCATGAAGGCGCAATGGGTTGCTCTCCTCTCCAGGAGGTTAGCATCAGCCATGCTAATGGAAGCCAAAAAAAAAAAGGTTCTCTATGATGATTAAAAGACAGCAGTTTCGTTTGAAATTTGTTAAAATTAACAAGCCATTCCTTGCCCCAGTTAACAACTGATTGTAGGTAATTTTTAAGAGCAACTGCCAGATTTATAAACGAAACATAACTTCCGATTAATATCCGTATCCTTGTTTTTCTTTTTTTATCAGGAGGTTAATGCATTCTTCGGCCTTCCTTATCTTGTCTTTAATTCTGTCGTTATTCAAGGAAATACTCGGACCAATACGCTCAACTTTTGCTGCATTTATCCTTTCATTTCACCCGAGATACTCCTCGGCCTTCTTTTTATTTTTGTTCTTTGAAATATTAATATGGAATATGAGTAACATTTGCCTGAATATTAGGTTAATTCATAAAAATAATGACAAAATAACGATGTTGACATTCGACACTACATCAAGCAAAAGGTTAGGAAGGAAACGTCCATCTATACGAGAAGGAGGGTTAACAGTTACTGGACTTGAGAAACTTATTTTCCTGAAGAACTGTTTTAAGAGAAATCATTGATAAAATGTACACTGACAGTAACTACAACTCTTCGGCCAATGAGTACATAATGTTTCCTTATAAGGAAACGGTCAAAGTTAACATTACCATTAGAGATGGAGGGAACGGATTTTACATTCCGCCATGTTGCAGGAAGAAAATCTGGACAGAAATACACTTATGCACGAATATATGGATAATAAAATAAATACAAAGCATATAAAAAAATTTAAAAAAATGTAAAAATACAAAAACTACGACACAGTTCAAAAGTTTCAGGCTACCCAGGGTAATTTTTTAAACGTAGTTATTTTATATTTTAAACAAAAGAAAATTATACTACATGGTTTAAAAAAAGTAAGACATGATTATTTTTTTCTATTATGACAAAAAGAAAAAAACATTTTGTGATTAAGTTTTGCTCGCATCAAAATATCCTCCTTTAGCCTTGATTACTGCAGCACAAATCTTTGGCATTAGTTGCAAAAGTTTCTCAAAGTATAAGTTTGATAATGGATTTCATTCTTTTTTCAATGACTCTAAGATCAATTCTTCATTTAATTTTTTAACTTTTCTGTGAAGTACATCCCATGCTAATTCTGGGAGTTGCTCCAAACTTTGGAACTATGGTGTATATATATATATATATATATATATATATATATATATATATATATATATATATATATATATATATATATGAAGAAATATAGTCTTAAGGTGTGCTATATTTATGGGATAAAGTGCTCAATATCAGAGATAGAGCGTGTGTAAATATAAAAGTGAACATTGAAGTCAACAATTAGAGGCGACAGGCTGTTTCATGGTAGACGCAATCGTCAGTCCTCCTATATGGCAGTGAATGCTGGACAATCTCCTCACAGATGAAGAAGAGACTTGAAGCAACGGAAACAAAGAAAAGAGTAGTGAACTGTTACGTAATATCAGTCCTCCTATATGGCAGTGAATGCTGGACAATCTCCTCACAGATGAAGAAGAGACTTGAAGCAACAGAAACAAAGAAAAAAGTACTGAACTGTTACGTAATATCAGTCCTCCTATATGGCAGTGAATGCTGGGCAATCTCCTCACAGATGAAGAAGAGACTTGAAGCAACGGAAACAAAGAAAAGAGTACTGAACTGTTACGTAATATCAGTCCTCCTATATGGCAGTGAATGCTGGACAATCTCCTCACAGATGAAGAAGAGACTTGAAGCAACAGAAACAAAGAAAAAAGCACTGAACTGTTACGTAATATCTGTCCTCCTATATGGCAGTGAATGCTGGACAATCTCCTCACAGATGAAGAGACTTGAAGCAACAGAAACAAAGAAAAAAGTACTGAACTGTTACGTAATATCAGTCCTCCTATATGGCAGTGAATGCTGGGCAATCTCCTCACAGATGAAGAAGAGACTTGAAGCAACGGAAACAAAGAAAAGAGTACTGAACTGTTACATAATATCAGTCCTCCTATATGGCAGTGAATGCTGGACAATTTCCTCACAGATGAAGAAGAGACTTGAAGCAACGGAAACAAAGAAAAGAGTACTGAACTGTTACGTAATATCAGTCCTTCTATATGGCAGTGAATGCTGGACAATTTCCTCACAGATGAAGAAGAGACTTGAAGCAACAGAAATAATGAAAAGAGTACTGAACTGTTACGTAATATCAGTCCTCCTATATGGCAGTGAATGCTGGACAATTTCCTCACAGATGAAGAAGAGACTTGAAGCAACAGAAATAAAGAAAAGAATACTGAACTGTTACGTAATATCAGTCCTCCTATATGGCAGTGAATACTGGACAATCCCCTAACAGATGAAGAAGAGACTTGAAGCAACAGAAACAAAGAAAAGAGTACTGAACTGTTACGTAATATCAGTCCTTCTATATGGCAGTGAATGCTAGACAATTTCCTCACAGTTGAAGAAGAGACTTGAAGCAACAGAAACAAAGAAAAAAGTACTGAACTGTTACGTAATATCAGTCCTCCTATATGGCAGTGAATGCTGGGCAATCTCCTCACAGATGAAGAAGAGACTTGAAGCAACGGAAACAAAGAAAAGAGTACTGAACTGTTACATAATATCAGTCCTCCTATATGGCAGTGAATGCTGGACAATTTCCTCACAGATGAAGAAGAGACTTGAAGCAACGGAAACAAAGAAAAGAGTACTGAACTGTTACGTAATATCAGTCCTTCTATATGGCAGTGAATGCTGGACAATTTCCTCACAGATGAAGAAGAGACTTGAAGCAACAGAAATAATGGAAAGAGTACTGAACTGTTACGTAATATCAGTCCTCCTATATGGCAGTGAATGCTGGACAATTTCCTCACAGATGAAGAAGAGACTTGAAGCAACAGAAATAAAGAAAAGAATACTGAACTGTTACGTAATATCAGTCCTCCTATATGGCAGTGAATACTGGACAATCCCCTAACAGATGAAGAAAAGACTTGAAGCAACAGAAACAAAGAAAAGAGTACTGAACTGTTACGTAATATCAGTCCTTCTATATGGCAGTGAATGCTAGACAATTTCCTCACAGTTGAAGAAGAGACTTGAAGCAACAGAAATAAAGAAAAGTTTACTGAACTGTTACGTAATATCAGTCCTCTTATATGGCAGTGAATGCTGGACAATCTCCTCACAGATGAAGAAGAGACTTGAAGCAACAGAAACAAAGAAAAGAGAACTGAACTGTTACGTAATATCAGTCCTCTAATATGGCAGTGAATGCTGGACAATTTCCTCACAGATGAAGAAGAGACTTGAAGCAACAGAAACAAAGAAAAGAATACTGAACTGTTACGTAATATCAGGCCTTGAATTTACAGAAATCTCTTTGTACAGAAAGATATTGTGAATATCATTGATCGATCTGAGAGCAACGATGACGTTAAAGAAACAATCGCAACAAAAAGGACACTTATCCTTAGCATCAAAGAAAGAGTGAGAGTGAGTGAGAGAGAGAGAGAGAGAGAGAGAGAGAGAGAGAGAGTTTAAATTTCTAGGATACATAAATTAGGAAAACATGCATGTAAAGTACTCACAGACAGACTTAAGGCAAGTTAGAGAGATAAGAAAACATCACACAACCCACCCGTCGAGCTAGAGGGAATGGATGGCGTAGCAGGTTTTGGGGAAGATGTCAAAGAGATAAACGTTATTAAGTGCTACAAAGGACAGGAAATTAGGGAGAGCCACGATCGCGTACGCCCTGAAATCACACAGCACAACTTGTTCAACTTTTTCCTTTTCATTTTTTTTTTTTTTTTGTCCACCTTCCAAACATTTTTGCATTTCGGATTCGTTTTATTTTATTGTGCTCCATTGGGGACGACATCCATCTTGTATTCATTACGTCAGTGATCGATTTGCACCTCGCACTCAAACCAAACGAGATTTCGCACTCAATGACATCAACCATTTGCCTTTCATTGACCGAACGAAGAAAGAAAGAAAGAAAGACTGTAGGGAAAGAGACTTCAAACACTAGAGAAAGAGGGAAAGAGTAGACACCGAAGAAAGAAAGAAAGAAAGAAAGAAAGAAAGAAAGAAAGAATTAGAAAGAAAGGAAGAAAGAAAAAAACGATGATAATGGAAGAAAGAAAGAAAGAAAGAAAAAAGAAAGAAAGAAAGAAAAAAGAAAGAAAGAAAGAGAGAAAGAAAGAAAGAGAGAAAGAAAAAGAGAAAGAAAGACTGTAGGGAAAGAGAGCCCAAACACTAGAGAAAGAGGGAAAGAGTAGACACTGAAGAAAGAAAGAAAGAAAGAAAGAAAGAAAGAAAGAAAAAGAGAAAGAATTAGAAAGAAAGGAAGAAAGAAAAAAACGATGATAATGGAAGAAAGAAAGAAAGAAAGAAAAAAGAAAGAAAGAAAGAAAAAAGAAAGAAAGAAAGAAAGAAAGAAAGAGAGAAAGAAAGAAAGAGAGAAAGAAAAAGAGAAAGAAAGAAAAACTGTAGGGAAATCGTCTTTTTCATGTTGAATTGTATATGGTTTAATGTTAATGATGTTTTATGAATATGTCCTGAAGATGGCCTATTAGACCGAAACGTCCGACGTTGACATTAAACATTAAATCAGCTTAATCGCATATTAGGATTTTTGTTTGTTTTTTCACTATATTTTTCTTCATATTTATATTCGTTTTATTTTCGTTTCTTCTTCTTAATTTGTATCATATAACATTTCAATAGATTTTTCTTATTGCATCAGCCATTATTCGCACGTAATTTATGGCCAAGGCATTTATATCATTGAAAAATTGGCAGCCATTTTGATAATGTAGTTTGGAGTGATTGAGCCCACACTTTTACCTTCACGAAGTTACCAAGTCGTGGTTTTATGCGATTAATGCGCCTCTGAACGTGAAATTAGTTTAAAAGAAGTTTATAGGAAAAAACACCTGTGCCCACCACTCTCGGGAATTTTCAAAAGACATTTATCAACAAGATGAGAAATGTCCGTCCAAGTGGAACCAATGCTAGAGGTGCACATTTGATGAAGTCCGTTGCAACAAGAAGCAATGTGGTGCTCTGCTTCAAAGTAATACAAATGCCCTCTTATGTTTGGTTTAAGACCCTTTAAACTACTTCTCAAACTATGACTAAGTGTATGAAATCCAAGCGTGTAAAATTTTCTTTGTGTCTGCTGGGAAAGTAGTTGTAGAGTGGAAGATAATTTATTGTGTTCAGGAAGAACTTACGCCGGAATCTGTATCTATCAAAACCAGAGAGTTCATTATCTATCTATCTATCTATCTATCTATCTATCTATCTATCTATCTATCTCTATCTATCTATCTATCTATCTATCTATCTATCTATCTATCTATATGCATATATCTATCTATCTATCTATCTATCTATCTGCATCTATCTATCTATATAATTCAGCCTAGTATCTATCTATCTATCTATCTATCTATCTATCTATCTATCTATCTATCTGTATGCATATATCTATTTATCTCTCTATATATGTATATCTATCTATCTATCTATCTATCTATCTATCTATCTATCTATCTAACTATATATATATATATATATATATATATATATATATATATATATATATATATAGGTAACTACACTCGTCTCGGAAAGCCTTCGGTTTCTTGATTTGCTAATGATCAAATCAATCTCGAAAGAAAAAAAGGTTTTAAAAAAAAGTAAGAGCTATGAACATGAACGTCTGTCGGAAATAATCGTACAGCATACAGGTCCAAAGCCCAAAGAAAAAAACCCCGATACGAGTAATCAACTCACTTAAAAGTGGTCAATACAAAAGTAGAGCAGACCTTGTCAAACCTAGAGAGCCAGACAAACCTACCAAGGTTTCACCTAAGCGGATCGTCAGGGAAGGCTGGCTTTGTAGGTTTGTCTGGCTCTCTAGGTTTGACTGACTATCTATCTATCTATCTATCTATCTATCTATCTATCTATCTATCTGTGTGTGCGTGAAAAGTGTGTGTATATAAATATAAATAAATATATATATGTATAATTATTTATGTATTATATGCGCGGTACTTATTAGAAAGCGCTCAATATAAAGCGTGAAACCTATGATCACAAACTCACATCTATCCAACCAAATATATATATATATATATATATATATATATATTATGAAATGGACAAAGTCTGATAATTATTTTATGACATTTTTATGTTTACACATCCTTGTTTTTATAGATACAAGTATTTATACTTATGTTTATTATAAACAGAGCATTTACTTAAGAATTTGTATCTATTAAAAAAGAATTTATAAACATAAAAATGTCCTAAAATAATTGTCGGAATTGTTTCATAATGTCTGACGTCATTTGTTTACATTTGGATACGCACCGAGCAGATATGAATGTATGAGAGAAATTCATGGAAAATTGTAGTTTAAAATCAGTAAAATCGACCTTGCTAATCGTAACGCTCCTCTGTGGCTCAATCGGTAAAAGCACGTCAGGCTATATGACGGTTCCGTATAGGATACAGGTTCGATACCTGTCGGAGGATGAATATTTTCTATGACAATTTCTAGGACATTCAGGCCGGTAAATGTTGTTAATACTGTTTATTATAAACAGAGCATTTAATTAAATATTTGTATCTATAAAAAGAATGTATAAACATAAATGTCTTTATATATATGTAAATGGTGTGTGAGTGAATAAACGTTGTTTTATTTGCAGTCATTGACAAAAGTTTAAGACCACTTAGATGCAAGTTGTTTATCTTCGTTTTTTTTTAATTTGTATCATATGACATTGCATGATGCAATTGCTTTTTTTATTGCATTAGCCAATATTCACACACGATTTATGGCTAAAACATTTTCGTCATTGACAAATTAGCAGCCATTATAATAGTATAGTTTGTAGTGGATGAATTCTCAATGTTTACCTGCACGAAGGGCCCAGGTCGTGGTTTTATGCGATGAAGGCTCTTCTGAGTGTGAAATTAGTTTAAAAGAAGATTGTAGGAAGTCAGCTGTGCACACCGCCATCGGGAAATTTCAAAGGAGATTTATCAACAAGATGAGAAGTGTGCGTCTAAGTGAAACCAATGCTATAGGCGCCCATTTGATGAAGTCCGTTGCAAAATGATCCCAAACAAGAAGATATGTGGTGCTCTGCTTCAAAGTGATACAAATGTTCGTTTCATGTCGTCTGATATTTGGTGTTTGGTCTGAAATCCTTGAAACCACTTCCATGACAACCTGTAGCTATGAAATCCAAGCGTCTAGCTTTTCCTAAGCAACACGAAATTTGGACAGCTGAAGACTGGAACAAAATTATGTTTTCAGATGGATCTATTCTGCAACAGTTCGTTATGAGTGAAAGAACAATTAAAAGACCCCTGGGTAAATGATTTTAAGCAAATTATACAATTCAGACTAAGTAGTGCCCAAGAAACCGGATTATTTGGCGCATGTATGTCCAAATCTGGAACACCTGAACTTTGCTTCTTGCTTCAAGGAACAACGATGAACGGTATTGATTTCCAATTGAATAAAAAAACAATATATTTCTTAGGAACAATTTTTAAGAATACATTTTTATAGTGAAATTACAAGCACTACATTTTCATAGTAAAATAACAATCAATACATTTTTATAGCGAAATTACCAGCAATACATTTTCATAGTAAAATAACAATCAATACATTTTTGTAATTAAATTACCAGCAATATATTTTTATAATAAAATAAAAATCGATACATATTTGTCGTGAAATTATCAGCATTATTTTTGATAATATAATAAAAATAAATACGTTTTTGTAGTGAAATTACGAGAAATACATTTTTATAATAAAATAACAATCAATACCTTTCCGTAAAGAAATTTAGAAGAATACATTTTTATAGTAAGATAACGATCAATATATTTTTGTATTGAAATTGAGAACAATACATTTTTATTTGAAAATAAGAATCAATACATTTTTGTAGTGAAATTAGCAGGATTACATTTTTTAGTAAAATATCAATCAATACATTTTCGTATTGAAATTGCCAGTATTACTTCTTCATAGTAAAATAACAATCAATACATTTTTGTATGAAATTAAGAAAAATACATTTTTATAGTAAACTAAATATCAATACATTTTTATAGAGAAATTACCAGCAATCCATTTTTATAAGAAAATAAAAATCAATATCTTTCCGTAGGGTAATTTATAATACATTTTTATAGTAAATAACAATGAATACATTTTTGTATTGAAATTGAGAACAATACCTTTTTATATAAAAATAAGACTCAATACATTTTCGTATTGAAATTGTCAGCAATACATTTTCATAGTAAAATAACAATCAATATATTTTTGTATTGATATTACCAACAAAACCTTTCTATAATAAAATAACAATCAATACATTTTTGTATGAAATTAAGAACATTACATTTTTATAGTAAAATAAAAATCAATACATTTTGTAGTGAACTTAGCAGCAATACATTTTTATAATCAAATAACAATCAATACATCTTGGTAGTGAAATTAGCAACAATATATTTTTTTATAATAGAATAATCATCTAAACATTTTTGTAGTGAAAATACCAGCAATATATTTTATATATAATAAAATAAAAATCAATACATCTGTGTTCTGAAATTACCAGCAATACATTTTTATAGTAAAAGAACAATCAATACATTTTTGTAATGAAATTACCCGCAATACATTTTTATAATAAAATAAAAATCAATACATTTTTGTAGAGAAATTGCCAGCAATACATTGATAATAAAATAAAAATCAATACATTTTTGTATTGAAATTACCAGCAATATATTTTTTATAGTAAAATAAAAATAAACACATTTTTTTGTAGAGAAATTACCAACAATAGATTTCTATGAAAAAATAACAATCAATACATTTTTGTAATGGAATTACCATAATATATTATATATAGAATTCCGCCGGTCATAGGCAACCATGGATTTGATCCCATGGTATTTGGTAACCAGTGACCACTGACCAGGATTAGACCCTGTGTGTCATAGCTAATGGCGCGGCTAATGGCGTGGCTAATGGCGTGGCTAATGGCGTGGCTAATGGGAAGCCAACAGAGTGCCCCAGAGCCGGACAGTGACCGGTAGAAGCCAGAAGAAGCCACGTGACATGCTGTAGAAAGAATCGCTGGCATTGAGCCGGACGAGAAGAATTGCTGATGGTGAGCATCGATGAAGAGCTTGATCGACCTAACATCGCGTGTGAATGTTTAACCCACTCCAAGTTTTTGAAGCAAGAGATGCAGTGTCCCGATAGAGAGTCACACGGGAAGGGTTAAATTTGTTGTATCAACGATTATATAAACCAATTGAAAATACACCCAATGACCTTCTTCGTTACTTGTTATAATATTTTCACCGGGGGGGCATTCTTAACCTTTTTTCTTTTTCATAGCAAGGTTCCGCCTACTCGCTTACCTGCGGACGAAAATTCAATCTCCACTGCACTGTGATCAGCGTGGTGGGGCCAGATGAAGGAACGAAGCTGTTAACAGATAACTGGGAAAAATTCAATGTTAAGTGTGTTGCATTAAGTTGTAAGATAGGATCAAACCTGGGCAGGATCGTATGAAGGACAATATGTTACCCATGCTGCATTCTCCCCTTCGATATTGGAGCCAAAGGAACAGGAAGATTGACTGCCAAAACAGACGAATTTTTAGTTGGAATAGTATGGGTTACACCAGGGCAACATAAAATTTTTAAATCAGAGTTACTTTCTCCTAGACCTGTTGCCACTCAAGGCTAAAGAACCAAGTCTGTTAAGTAATCAAGCATAATCGGGATCATGGAGACAATGTGAACGGCCCTTTCTTTTCCCATGATAATATGTGCTACGCCAGGACTACATACAGTTTTGAATTCTGAGTTACTTTCTCCTAGACCAGTTGCCAACCAAGGCTAAAGGACCCAGTCTGTTAAGTAATCAAGCATAGTCGGGATCATCGAGCCAATGTGAACGGTCCTTTTCCTTTAGCTGTGTTTTATGTGCTACGCCAGAACTACGTACAGTTTTGAATTCAGAGTTACTTGTCTTCTAGATCGGTTGCGATCCAAGATTGCTATATAACAAAGTCTATCCTGCTATTTACCCTGAGAGAAAAAGAAGGGGGTCCACACTTTTCCCAAGTGAATGTAATGGATCCGACTGGAATATCGAAATCGGCTCTCCGATTCCTAAATCTGAGTCGCTATCCATTATCACTGTTTCTTCTGATATTATAACTCAATGAAAACAGCTAATTGTCAAATCGGAAATTATTTTTCCGAACAATACGAAGAATATTATGGCGAAGAATATACTCAGTGGCAATAACTGCACGGTCCGTAAAAAGCACCGACTTAAATTCCAGAGAAAATCTAGGGAGTGATATGAAAACCAAGGCCCGTACCAAAAGGACCCGCTAAGTAATTCAAAACTGTACGTAGTTCTGGCGTAGCACATAAACAACTAATGGAAAAGGACCGTTAGCATTGGCTCGATGATCCAGACTATGCTTGATTACTTAACAGACTTGGTTCTTTAGCCTTGGTTGGCAACTGGTCTAGGAGAAAGTAACTCTGAATTCAAAACTGTATGTATATCCTGGTGTAGCACATACAATAAAGCAAAAGGAAAAGGAACGTTGACATTGGCTCGTTGATTCACGAGAAGCGTGAAAGATTTCCCAAAGAGTTGGTATTCTGTAGCAGACATGCCTAAGAATTGTTGAAAACTACACTTCACCCCTGCAGGCTCTTATTCGACAAAACACCCGATTAGTTTAAGGGGGGGAGTTAATAATTTTGACTTTGGGGTGTTTTGAGATTTGGGAATTCATTTGATTTTCGTATACAGATACGGTTCGGTTGATTCATTTATTACGGGTTATCAACCCTTCGCATCTGATTTAAAGATTAAGGTTTGAAGAGTTTTCTTTT